GTAAACTAATAATTATAATTTCAGTATATAATATTATAATTAGTTAGGTTGTAATAATTTGGGATTATAATTAGTTAGGTTGTAATAATTTGGGATTATAATTAGTTAGGTTGTAATAATTTTGGTTTTTTTATCGGATTAGGGTTTTTCGCCAAAACGAGATTTTAATGGTCATTCTTTCATTGATTTAGTCTATTCTTTATTATAGTCCATGTATAATTATATATTTTATCCATGATAATGCTATGATTTTTTTTTTTATGTGATGCAAATTTAATACTTAAGTTTATACAGGGAAAAAGCATCTCAATATTCACAATTGATGAAAAAACTGAAAGTTAATAATGTAGTACCCGCATTTCTTATTGGATTCCTAAAAAACAACATTTATAATAAATTTTAATAATTTTTTCGAATTTTTTTGAAGCTTTAATCCGACCGATTCAGTCGATTCTCGATCCAGATCGCCGATTCGCCGATCCGGATCGGGTTTTGAGATACCCGATCCTGATTACCGATCCGCTTTTTGAAACTATGAATATTCTTCATTTTGAAGCAACTAATACCAACTTAAAATGAGAGATTTGGAGTCTTACGAAATAGATGGGATGGGTGTCCTGAAGTCTTACTTTCACCATGCTTACGAAAAAGAAAATCCAGAAAGAAGGTTGGATTTGGAGATAACAGAGAGATTTATTGCATTTAATAATGGAGATTGAAAATAGAATGAGGAGAGAGATGATCTAGAAATTTTAAAATTATTCATTTTCTTGGAGATTTTAGGGGAAAAAAATGGAGGAAAAGAGAAGCCATAGGGGAGAATGCATGATTATACAAAAGACAGAGGTTGACAGGCAAAACAAGGGATATTATACAAATTAGTAAACCCACAAAAGGGAATTGGCACATGACAGAAAATTCGCATTGAGTACATGTTTCCGAATTAATATTACAAAACAGGACAGGACAAACCAGATGAGTCCTTACACCAGCTTATTTCAAGATATGTCCTTACTCCACTTGAATATAAAGTTCAAAGCTCATTTCTCATAGCACTCTGGGCATCAAAAATCTTGACCATGGCTTTAAAATCAATTTCCAAGCTGACAACACAATTTGAAATTTGAAATTTGAAAAAAGGGTACAATCTTGCAGTTCTGTTAACATTTATTTTTAAGGTGAAATGGATGGTTTAGATGATTTATTGGAATATATACTATTTTTAAGACTTGAAATCCTAATTTTTTTTTCACAATCACAATGTTCAAGTTGAGATGATTGATTTAAAGGTTTTTCAACATTTGAATTGCAATTTTTTATGAGTTATATGCTGGGTCATTACTGTTTTTACTGGGTGTGGTTTCTATAAGCTTACAACCTTAAACAATCTAATTAAGGCGCACCTTAAAATATTATCATAACATGTAATTATTGTTGTAAAAATTTGTTAGTATTATCTTAAAATCTATTTTCATACCTAATTATGAAATTTTAAATTTCAAAAATGGTCAAAATGAAGTAGATCTATAAATATATGAAAATCTTGAAAACGAACGATCTAGATAATGTGTTTCAAGATGCACTATTTTCGATATTCAATAAAAAAAATTTTCATATTCATAAATCTCGATGTCGAGATGATTGATTAGAGGGCTTTTTAACATTAAAAAAATATTTCCGATAGATTTTTTAGGCTCATATGTGATTCTACATTGTAAGGTTGCAACCTCATATAAACTTTTCCCTTTTTTAATAGGGTTGTAGCTAACTATTTTCCTTGTTTTAAAACCCCCTTTTCACATTTTTTATTTGTAAGCTTATGTGATGTTTTCTTAGTTCCTCCCTAAGTCCCTAACCAGTAAATCCTTATTTGAATTATAATTTATTTTCTTAGTTTTAATATTTTTTTCCGGATCATTGATTCAAACCAATTCGAGTCGCTAACCCACGATCCGACACGGATCTAGGGGGTGGACGATCCACCCAAGCTATCTGGGTTTTAAAACATTGTTTGCAACATAAACCTGGCTTTTTTCAGTTTTTTTAATGACATGATAACATGCTATGGGTGGGCTACATAAACTATGACGTAACTCTCATTGGTACAATGGATTTCAGTTTGCTCTTATGTGGATGGATGTAGCTCTTTGGGGTAAACTATATAAATCTTTGTATTTTTATGATGTTTGTGCCTTATGTTTTATATCGTGTGCTCTTATTATGGTTTGTACTTGCTTATTTCATTTTTAACTAGTTAAGTACACGATCCTAGTAGAATCCAACTTTGAGAGTTCATGTTTTCGCATCACAGAGGACTATTAAATCCCAACAGGTTAAAGGTAGTGGCTTGAGAGTCTGAATCAGACCTAGAATTGCTAGGTGAATTCACCCGGTCGGATTGGTGTACAGATAGCAAAGAAAATTAAAACAAACAAATGAATCGAGATCATTCTGGGAATTTTTCAATCTCTAGGTAAAGGGAAATGTATTGGCACGGCTTATATTCAATTGAGTCGCAGCTCCAAAACTCAACCCTGCAATTTTTAAATTGCTAGTGTCACGACTTCGAGAAATATTTTTTTTAACTTTTAGGGTAGTAAATAACACAGGTTCACAACCACACGATTAGAAATCTAAAGGACAACAATGATATGTATATTTTTCATAAAAGGAACACCTCCAAAATTCACTTGAATACCATTAACATCCAATGTCGTGTTGGATCTTGCTGCAAAAATACCGCATATCTAATCAAAAAATGAGATTTAACAGTATATATGAAGGAAAAAGTTTATATAAGGTTGAGAACCCTAAACAATCAAATTAATGTGCACCTGAAAAATTCACTAGAAATTTTTTTCAATGCTGGAAATCCCTCAAACCAAATCATCGCGACCTTGAGATACATGGACATTAAGTGAAATGGCCTTCAAGTCTTGGATGCATCTTGTTATGCATTATCAAGACCGTCAATGTTCAAGATTTTAAGTGTTTATAGATCTTCTATTAGTATGTTTGGTTTGAAAAATAATTGAGTGAATTTCAAAACAACAATATGGTTTTATAGTTCTTTCTTAAATTTGTTTTGTAGAAAAAGAAATATATGGGTATAAGTCCCACATTAAAGAGGAAAGAATTTATTGAGCTGTATTTAAGAGCACGTATTCCCATACATTCTACTCTTAGTACAAAGGTGATAGAGATGGTGCATGTGCGGGGAAAAGGATAGAAGTGATTAGGGGAAACCAAAACAAAAAGCACCGGATGTTGCGTAAGGATTTGATTCGGGGCATTAAGGTTTCCTATTGTCCCTTCTTGCTGAAAGAAGAGAAGAAAGAGCATTGCTAATACACATTTTGTTGTGTGAGATAAGCTTTGCTAATACACATTTTGTTGTGACAGATAAGCTTTGCTAATAGCTTTGTTGTAAGAGACAAGAGACCATGTGCTATGTTATTTATGTGAGAGATAAGCTTTGCTAATAAGTTTTGTTGTAAGAGACAAGAGACCATATGCTGTATTATTTATGAAGTGGTCAGTGCGATTATTTATTGATTTGAGTGATTACATCGCTTTCTCTCCCTGTATTATTGAATTTCTATTGTAAGGATGAAGGTTTTTGATATTCACTTTACTATCTTATTGCATTTTTTTTATTTCTTATGCTTAAGAGAACTATAAGATAGATCATTGCATGTATTCTTTGAGAAATTATGGTAGAAGAATCGGAATAAGATAGATACTTGGAGGTTGAAATAATGAAGTTGTTAGGAAATTAGGATCAGGTTTCGATGCTTCTTACAAGAATTTTGTGGATTTCTGTCCTCTAGGCCTAAGTTATAGGAATCAATATTTGATTCCTATAACTGTCAACATTATTTGATTCCTCAACACCAACCCACTCTCTTCCAGAGGAACTCCATAGACATATTTTGGTTTGAAATGACCCTTTTCCGGTTGGCCCCATCCTTGTGTCTCTGAGGTTCCACTACTGACTTAGTGGAGCTTGGTTCTCAATTCTGTTGAGGAGTTGGATGAGTTGTGACACATTCAAGGTTTTAGATGGTTGGCCGAGGAAAATCAAACTGCTGGTTTCCTTATGATTTCAAAGGCTCAGGACGAATGTATGGACTAAGCTTACATGGTCAGAGAGCAAAATAGGAATTCTTTTGAGATGCTTTTCTTTTTAATTTTTTTTTTTTTTTTTTTTTCTGAAACCAATTCTTTTAAGAGGCTGTACAATTTGAGCTTGGTATATTGGCTACCAAAAATTGATCTTAAGAGTTATCCTTGGTTAAGTTTTGATAGGCCTTTTGAGGTGGATGGTGGAATGAAAGATCCTCTTTCCACAATGAACTAGGGAGTCCTAGAAATTTAGACCAAACAGTTAGTGATTAAGTTTTCTCCACTGAGTTTGAAGATGGGGGCACTTTTTACTTCCTCTTGCCGAGGAGACTTTGAGTTGTGGGCATCAAGATTTATTGTGGTGTTTACCAGTCCTTAGTTGTCTGGTTTTTGGGTCTTCTTGATTTATTTGTGTGAGTCCGCTTTTTTTTTTAAATAGTGGTCTTGCAGAAAGGCCTTTTAGGTGTTCCATTAGGCTTAGGCATTCACAGCTTTCTGGCCTTTGTTGATAACCTGGAAATATTCGTTTGATTTACTATAATACTTAAGACAGCCATTGTCAGGGATAAATATGGACCTCTTATTAATATTTAGTGACCAGTTAAGCGAAGAGAGATTGCCGGCATTATGTCATTGACTTGGCTAAAAGCGGAAGGAAAGCAATACAGCTCTCATGGTCATTTTAATGTGTGGACAAATAGGAGAGTAAATATTACAAATATCAGTTATCCCCTGACCAACATACTGGGACTGCCTGCATATGCATATGGTAATGTGGGCCATTATTTGCATTTAGGAGTAACTCATCATTATCATCATCATTTTAGCTCTTTTCCACTTAATTGAGGTTGGCTACATAAATTCTAGTTCTCCATTCTGCTCTATTGAAGGCTATATCCTCAATGAGGTCATAAGTCTCCATATCTTTCAGACTACTTCCAACCACGTACTTTACATTTAAGAGTAACTATGATATAATAAGACAGATGAGGGCGATGTTACAAATTAATCACCCTTTACATTTATGACTACTTGGACAGATATCTTGTACCAAACATACAACACTAAATTAATTCCTGCAATCTTTCCCTGCATAATATATCATAAAATACAAATCCAATTTCGTGTCTTTGAACTCTCCCTTCCGAAATCGTTCTGGTATTTTTTATCTCTCTCATTTTCAAATCCATTCCGAACCTCTCTGTCTTCCAAGTCCAATTTGGTGTTTGTTAGTTGAAACCTCTCTCCCCAAGTGCTGCTGCTGTCATCGTAAGACTGACCTCCCAACTTCCTCCTTCAACATTTCAAGTAGAAAAGAGTTCCAGCTATCTATTGGGCCAGGAAGGCACCAGTGCACACAATCAGTGTACAATGTCACATTCTCTTCACCCCAGTGCCCTAACCTTCCGGGGTGGCCATCAGGCCTCATTAACATAGCATGGGAAGTGTCGATAACTCTAAATTTGTGTCCTCTCTCTCGACCCACTCTTTCTGCATCTCCAAGCTCCTCAATTTGGGTCATGTACAACTCCATGTTAGTCCCCTCTAACTTTGTCTCAGTGCTCTTGAGAGGTTTGGTCCTAATACAGTTCGCACCTTGGTTCCAAAGACCACCCTCAAAGTGTGCGGGGGAAAAGGTCCTCAAGAAAGTTGTACCCTTGAAATTTTGTAGCGCATTAATGGCTTTGAATGCTGTTCTGAAGGCTCGTCTATAGCCATAGTACATGCCCAAGTCTGTGATATTCTTGTGTTGGCAATTGGAGCACCCAACAACTTTGCCTTTCTCATAGAAGATGATATGTCGAAAGAACCAGTGGCCGGCAGATATGATGACATAGTCAAATCCTTCGATCTGGGCTATCCAATTGTCATCAAAGGTATCAAGATGGAGGTTAAATAGCCTTGTCATTGGGGCGGCCAAAGGGACAGCTTCCATAGATTTTACAAGGAAAGGGGACCAAAAGGCAGCAATGGTGAAATTAAAGGTCGTGTAGAACCAACGCTTGAACCTGTCATCACTTTCAATGGAGGCGTCCACAGGGTACTCCACCTACAGATGTTGAAGCTAAGAATGGTTATCAGAGAGAGAGAGAGAGAGGGAGTAGTCATAAGCAACATGAATGCCGTTGCATGGTAATAGTCATCTCAGAAAATTCAAATATGGTGAAGTTGATGCATCAAAAAATCCCACGCGATAGAAGATAGAAGATGTGCGAGGGAGCATTGCTGTAGTTTCCCCATATACATATTAATTTTATGGATAATTCTGGTCCTGTAGAAGAGAAATAGTGCGAATTCCATTATCATCGTCCATTCATTTGGTCAGTCAAGATAGCTAAAAATAAAACTTAAAATCACCTGGCTGTCTTGCTGGAGATCTCCTCGAGTTCTAGCCAAAATGTATCGGAAATGGAACAGGAGGATTCTATTTCGATCCTCCTATAGGAAGCTTAAATATTTTCTTTTAATTCAATATTCTGAATATGCTTCTACTTAGGTATTTTATGTTAAATTAAGATTTTAGTATATGGGGGAGTGTTAGGTACTCGACTTGATCAGCTACAACACATGATCAAGCCTGCAAAAATAATAGTTCTGAAGATTCTTTTTTAATCTGAAAATATTTTAGATCACCTTTAGTCAATCCAAACTTCAATTCTATAAAAAGAAGGGGAAATTGTTTTTGGGCCTTTTTCTACTGTGTTGATTGATGCACCAAAAGCCATCAATTTGGTGGATAGCAGTTCCTGCTCCAACAGGGACTACTGTCTGTTTTTATAGCAATCAGATATACCATTTTAAGAGTCCAAGATTTTCTTTTTTCTTATTTTGGAATTGATCACAAGGTTAATTTGAATATTTTTGAAAAATTTCTGTTTTGTGGGCTTTGTTCAACATTGGAGAAATGGATAATAGGTAGTTCTCCCCTAAAAAAAATAGAATTGATTTGAATCTCCATGATCTAAATCAATGGCCCTCAAATGTACACTGTGAGTCGAGGGATGATCGTATTAAGACCTCTCCATAAATATGGGCCAAGCCTTATCCCAACCAGCTAGAAATTTCACTTTCCCATATACATTGATATTTTTTTTTTAGTGTATTATTTCTGGATGCCAAAACAAAGATACACGTGATTAGTTTTTTATAAACATGGTTAGCGGAAAGTTGAATTACAGTTGATTTATCTCTAGCATGTCAAGTTTGTTAGGTATATAATTCCAAACAACACAGTCAAAAGAAGTAATGTTATTCCAAACAAAGGTAACTTCATTATCACATGCTCATCATCATTTCGGATATACGAAATGCTCTCTCTCTTAGAATATTAGGCCATGGTTGAGGCTAAGGCTTACCCTGGACAACAGGCAAATCAAGGACTGCATATGGTTCCTCGCGACCGAGTCGCCCACGAAAGCTATGGACTTCCCTCTCACAGTCTCGAAAAACTCCGATGGATTGAACTCCGTCAACTCGCACTCATCTGGTTTCCACTTCCATTTCATGAACCCAGTGTCTGGCCTTCCATATTTCATGCAATTTTGATGTTCGTGAATGGCCGAACATGTGGTGTTGGTGTAATAAGGGGCCCTTGGGTCAGGAACCCACTCTCCTCTAAATATATCACAACTTCTAATGGCTTCTTTAAAGACCCCAAGATCATTAGCAGTAGAATCTGTTATGTTGTTGCCCCAAAGAGAAGAATTTATCAAAAAGAAAGAATGAATTTTGATAGGGAAGGCGAGAGGAATAATAGTAAAGAGAAGAAGGGTTGCTGATACCAAGAGTGCAGCTCTTTTTGGGGCCTTTGAGAAATATTTCCCAATTAGGGTTTCTAAGAAGTGGAGCTTCATGGCTATTGAAGCTTGAAGCTCTTGGGGCATGCAAGGGAAGAAGACCAGGCATGGATATATATATGCCACGCATATTATTTTAAAAATACTATGGTCTATGAGGCTCACCGCATTTTCTGTTTTGATTTTTTTTTAATAGTTTATATTTTGGTGCTACTCTTTAGCTTTTTTTAAATAAATAAAAGGTTACTTCATTATAAAAGTGGTTGGTACTACCGCCAAAGCCCCAACACATTGTCGTTAGCTTTTTATGAAATGGGTAATTGTAAGAGTGGTTGGTACTATTGCCAAAGCCCCAACACATTGTCGTTAGCTTTTTATGAAATGGGTAATTGCCTCCCATCCAATGTAATAGGGAGAGTGGCAATAAGATCCATACTATTAGACAAGTATCTCAATTTAGAGAAGTGCAGGTAAACTATGTTCCCTCGGGAGCATAATTTACTTTTTTTTTTCTTGGTTGGAAGACCTCTTTGGGAGGATTTTTCAATTTGAAATATTAGGAACACAAAAGAATAACTAGCTAATTATTCTCAAAATAAAAAATTTGATATTTAAGTTTTTTAAGACTTAGATCTCACCATCTAAATATTGGATGGTCTCTCTTTAATCTCGAGACATTAATTTCTTTAAGTGCATAAAGGGTGTAGCTAGGAATTCTTTTATGGAGGTTAATATTTGGGTTAACCCAAAATTAGGTTTTTCTTGAAAAGAAAACTCTCGTAAAAATATCCCGAGTATTCGAAATAAGATAGTTTCGAGTGCAAGATGCCCCTCATAATTAATTTATTTTAACATATTTTTTTTTAAAAAAATCTAAAGTTTAAAATTATTATCTTAGAGAAGTATAAGATATGAGTTTCTTACTAAAATAATTTTAAAGTAAATTTAAGTTTCTACAATATCTGTGTGTGAAGAAAAAGATGTTATTATTTATAATATTCTTATAATTTGTAAATTTTCTCTCTTATGTTTAGATATTGAAATATGCAAATTTTGGAAACTTCCATTGCCAAAAAAAAAAAAAAGGGGGTAAGATCTGTCAGAGTGAGTCTTTTGTAATTCGTCTTAAATTATAAGTGGAAAAAAAAAGCCCGTGAAACCTTGTTTTTCTTTCATTTGTCCATGTGTCTGGGACTAATTAGGGCAGCCATTCTATGGGAAGTATTGAGAGAGAGTAATGGGATGTGTAAAGAACCCCAACATCAGATTTTTTATGCAGGTTACCCCAACCTATTATTTTTTTTTTGCATTTTTTTCTCAAAAACAAGGTTTCTATGCAAATAACCCCCTAGGGAAAAAGTTCATTTTTTAGATGGAAATGCTTTTCTTGTATACAAAAATCATTTTGGTTAGATTTGACATTTACTTTCAGACCCCAGTAGCACATTACTGGTGCGCACCATCGCATTGCCGGACCCATTACCCAAAACCTAAGTGTCGGACCACCTTAAGATAACTACCAGACCGAAACAGAGTTGCCGGACTGCCATTTATATAGTGTTGGAGCCTTGGAATCGAGTAACGTCTACTACCAGGCTGCCTTTGCAACTGCCGGGTCATTGTATCCAGAATTTTTACTACTGGATTGTACTTACAGAATGCCAGAGCCTTGTAACTACAATATCTATTGTTAGACCACCCTTTGCAACTACCAAAGGTATGTGACTCCATAAGTTTTACTGCTAGACCATACTTACACAGTGCCGGAGCCTTATGACTCCAGAGTATTCTTCTGCCAGAACCCTGTGACTTTAGAGTGTTCTAATGCTGAACTGCACTTGCATAATGCTGGAGCCTTATTTTGGTGGGATAGAGGAGAGAGATGCATATTTTGGTGGGATATAGGAGAGAGGCATGGTAAGGTAAAAGTAATGGAGGGTAGTTTAGGTGTTTTTTTTATTTTTATTTTGGTTGGGTGCATTTGCATAGAAAGTGTATTTTGGGGGAAAAAGTGAGAGAAAAAAATTAAATTCGGGGTAAGTTAGATCGAAAGTGTAGTCTTAAGGGGTTTTGTAATTTTTCAAGATTAATTTTGATGGAAGCTCGATAGGAAATTTGGAATCGATACGTTTGGATATAGTGATTATGGATCATCCGGGTAATGTTCTTCTATCAAACTTTGGTATGTGTGAACATGCTACAACTAACTTTGTTGAACTGATAGTCTTGCATCACTTCTATTTTTGGGATTGTATACTACAAAACTATTTATTATTGTTACAAGATGTTATAACCAATCCTACCTATTAGATGCCAAACTGGATGATTTGGGGAGTGTTACAAAGTTGAAGATTGTTTTTTATTTTCTTTTTAACTTTTGAGCTTAATCAATGACACACTTACAACCACTAAATTTAAAAATTGATGGATAAGAATGCTTATAGCATCCTACACTTATTTTTCACGAAGTATTTTTTTTATATTTTTATTAGTTGTGTCTCACTAAGATGTATATATGCTCCAAATTTCAGGTCATTCCGATTTGTAA